TCTACATTTGATTTTTAAATATTAATTTTGCAACACTTAGTGCACTACTTTCATTTTTTGCCATATTTGATCATTTTAACTAAATCTTTGATAGAAAACAATCAAAGCGAATTTCATTTATAGTTCAATATCATACATTTATACCAAAAAGTATCGTTATATATGTTCAATTAGTAGGTATGATTTTGAGTTGAAAATATGTTGAATTGTAGTTGTTTTCTATCAAAATTTTGTTAAAATGACTAAATGTGAAAAAAAAAAAAAGTAAAATGAAAATCATGCACCAAATGTGAGAAAATAGTTAATTTTAGGAATGGTTACTTGACTATTCTTATTTATCAAATTTTATCTTTCGACTTTTAATTGGACCATAAATAATTCTTTAATTATTGACTTTGTTTCAAATTTGGTCATCTAGTTAAATATCATTTTAATAAATATTAAATTTAAAGATAGTAATATAAACATTTTAATTCTTCACAATGATGAATTCAATGTATTATATTTATGAACTCAATTTGTTCATCTCAACGACAAGTTAATTTTTACATTATTATTTTTAAATTTAATGTTTATTAAATGGATATTTAACTGAATGACCAAATTTGGAACAGAATCAATAGTCAATGGATTATTTATGGTCAAATTAAAAGTCAATGACAAAAATTGGTAAAAATCAATAGTCAGAGACCATTATATTTATGCTCTAATTAAAAGTTGATGGATAAAAATTGATAAATATTAATAATCAAGGGATCATTCCTGAAATTAAATTAATACTTAAGGACCAAATGTGAAAATAATCTAATAGTAACCGAATCAAAAGTGAATATAACTCAAAAAGTCATGTACTGATGATGACAAATACTTGTCATGAAACCAAAAATGTCACAATTGGGTGAAATATAATTTTCGTACAAAAAAAGCCATGAGTTCGAGTATTACAACTTTCTCGTTCGAGTATTTCACACGACATCTTTCTAATGCAGTTAACTTCTCTTGTGCGGGTGCAGATTATAAAATAGTAGTAGAGTTTACTTGATGCAAACTCTCGATCGAGTAGTCACTGTACTATGAGTTTTCTGGTCCAATAAAAAGCTTATTTGTCTTATTTAATCCACTCACAAGGTGGATTTCAATTAATACAATATTATTCCATAAAGTATTGGCGAAATATGACGTTTCCACTTGCTCTTGCCTCATTTGGTGGAGTCTCCATTCCCAACTGCCAATAATTCCTCAAACAGGAAACCCTACTCCACTTCTTTACAACAACTCTATATAAACAACGTTTGATCTTCGTTGCCCCTCACTACAACCTCGGTAAGCCTTGCGTAACGTTTTTGAGATAAATAATGTATATATACTCTTATGTTACATATATGATAACCCATTTTGTTTTTGGAATGGCAGGAACCAAAAAACCAGACAAAAAAAATGAGACGATTATTCGTGGTGCTTGCATTAATCATGTTGATGATAACTTGTTCTTGCTTGGTAACCGGGCGTCAAGTCGAGAGGAAGCTAGTGGTCGAGGACACTGATGATGAGAACGATAATAATGGTTATATGAAGTCTGGCAATTCTGATTTGGATAATCACCATTTCAAACGCAGGCAAGACTTCTACAACAATAACACTAATAATGGACCTAAAGGAGGGAGTGCATGAAAATACAAATGGCGGAAGGTTATGAAAAAGTAACGTTACACAAATAAAAAACATATCTTAAGGCTATAATATATTATGTGTAATAGCTAGTGTTTATATTCAGTAACACATAGTTTATGGTGTGCGCTGCAAAATTTAGTTTACGTACTGCATGCATGCATGTATGTATACTGAGTGCTACGTTGGAATCCTATTATTATACCGGACTTGTTTTTATCACTGAGTATATATGTTTAATAATTATTTAGGCATCATATTTTATTTTACTAGAATTTAACAATAATTGAAGGCTTAAGGAGTATATATGTAGATTTTTTGTTTAATTTGAAAACAAAAAGTCCCAAACGAATCATCGTTATGTTTTATAAAATAACACAAGAATAGTTCAATTATATAAGTGATTAAGTATATAATATCTATTTTATTTGATAAGTCACTTAAAATTATTTCCCCAATATAAGGATTAAGGATACTATACTACCATTTGTTTTAAAAAAAATGTAACTCAAACAAATGGTGACAAATTATAGATAGGGCTACTATAATTTGGAAAATGCGTTATTTATGTATAAGATATAACAATTTATTCTTCCAAAAGGCTGAACCCCAACCCTAAGGGCCCCACACCCCGACCAAACAGAGCATTTGAGAGGAGATATAACAATTTATGTACCAGGGGTACGGTGTTGATGGAAGATGCGGTTAGGGTGACTTTCTCCAATTGTTCATAATTACTGAACTTTATATTCATAATTATAAAACTCTATGTTCATAATTTTTAAACTTTATATTCACAATTATTGAACTCTATATTCACAATTACAGAACTATATGTTCATAATTACTAATAAACTCTATGTTCATAATTATAAAACTCTATGTTCATAAATTTTGAACTTCATATTCACAATTATTGAACTTTATATTCACAATTACAGAACTCTATGTTCATAATTTTGGACTATATATTCACAATTATGAACCGTGCATAATTTGCCGACTTTCTCTAGGCGGGTGAGAAGGGTTCATCAAAGTTAAAGCACGACTACAAAATACACCTACCACGGCGGTTATTTTTATAAATACACGGCGGTTCTTGAAGTGCTGTGTAAGTGACCGCCTTTGTAAATATAGACTTTCTACGACGGTTATTTAAAACCGCCGTCTATTAAGTGACGTAAATATATATTAGAAGGCGGTTATTTAACAACTGTCGTCTATTATGTGACGCCGTATATAATAGACAACGGTTATTTAAAGACCACTGTCTATTAAGTGTCGTAGTATATATATAATAGAAGGCGGTTATTTAAAGAACGCCGTCTATTATGTGCCGTAGTATATAATAGAAGGCGGTTATTTAGAAAACCGCCGTCTATTATGTGTCGTAGTATAACAAAATATAATAGAAGGCGGCTATTTAAAAAATCGTTTTCTATTAAGCGACGTAGTATATCATTTCTGTAGTAGTGGAGGTTTCCCTACTCCATGCCAGATTAAAAAAAAATTAAATAAATATGTCCAATGAAAGACTAGTAAAATACTAAAGAATTTACACCTTAATTAATGCATTCAATTTTAACAAATATAACACATACATACATTAAAAAAAATTTATATTTAATGCTATTTTTACTATACCATATACTATGGCAACTTATACCATGAATATATATTGCATGTTTGTTTTTAATGTATTATATATTTATATTTAAGTAGTGCTTTAAAAATAAATCTATATCAAAATATAATGAACTACTAATACAAATTTGTAATATAATAAAAGAAAACTCGCAATATACAAAAACTAAACCTATATGTAAATGGTGCACGGTATAACGATCACAAGTACTAATCCTTGGGTTAATCCATTTCCTATAACTCCAATAAGCTAAGTAGTTAATACCAAATGATTTGGAAAAACTATACTCCCTAATAAGTTAGTAATACCTTTTTGGCAACAAACAATATATAAACTTGAAAATTTAAAAGGTAGGAAAATTAATTGTGTAATCTTTGACTTACAAAAGTTCGGATCAATGGGTCACATTTTCTGTTACCACATAAAATAAATCCCACATATATAGGGAATGTTGGGTTCTTTTCGCCGAGTGACTGAGAACATACCAAATTTATTAGATTATGCATTTATCCAATTTGACGTCAGATTAAAAGTCTTTTATACATATAAAAAGTTGTCTCTTCCACCATTACACATTGTTTATCAAAAAAATTTACATCTAAGTACGTAGTTAAAGTTTTTTGAAAAAAATTAATCTTAAACCAAATACCAAAATATGAAAAATATTTTATGAAAAATGAATAATTAAAAAAAAAAAAAACATTTTGTTGAGTTTTCAAATCCACCCTAATGTAAATTGCTCTTTACAATAACAAATGAAAATTGGCACAATTTTTTTTAATCATCACAATCCTCATTATTGATTGATTAAAATGGTTGATAATGCATAAAATGCATATCCCGCAACAATCATTCAACCTATTTAATTTAAAAATAAAAAGAAGAACCAAATGTCAATATTCCTTAGATATGTATGAGTCAGCTAGCTACAAAGATTCAACCTCAGAATGATCCTATCATGGCAATTCAACAGTAACTAATTGAGTGTTGTCCATTGACTTTTGGTATATCCTAGTATTATATTGTCACTTTTGGACACGGATATTATGATGTTTCCATTGTTACTGTGCAATTATGAAAATTATCAATATAAGTATCTAAATTTGTTTTTCATTTGGTTATTTTGGTGAAAAATTTGTTGAAATCCCATTAAATTTCCTTACACGACTGCGAATGATCAATATAATATTTATTAAAAAAAATAAAGTCCGTCAAATGATATGCTATTGTAAAAATGTATAATTTTTGCTTATAAGCTAACATCTATACTAGTAATTTATATCATTTCAAAAATACTAGTAATTTATATAATAGTACACTAATAATGGAAATGATCGATATATATATACACACACACAAAAGAGGGGCACTTGAAAACGAAAATTAACTAGTTATTTATATACGGGAGATAGTGTCATGTATTTTTGTTTCCTATAAATATGTTTGATCTTGAATATATAGTAAAAATTTGTGCGACGATAAAAATAACAAAAAAAAAAGAAAAAAGAAAAAAAACTGTATCTTAATTAATCCACTCACAAGGTGGATTTCATTTAATACAATATCGTTCCATCAACTCATCATTTTGGCGAAATATGGCGTTTCCACTCCCTCTTGCCTCATTTGGTGGAGTCTCTATTCCCCACTGCAATGCAATTAATTCCTCAAACACTAATGATCGAAACCCTAATCCACTTGTATACATACAACAACAACAACTCTATATAAATAACATAAGATCTTTCTTGCTCCTCGGAGTCCTCGCTCATTCTAATTATAACCTCGGTAAGTCTTATGTTTTTTAGATAAGTGTAGCTAGCTAGCTAGGGTTGATTTGCATACTCGTATGTTGCATATAGATATATATGATACAAGCTTTGTTGGGCGGAGGCCCGTGAAGGTCAAGTCCAGTACCAGCTGGTAGCTAGGAGATTGTTAGGCCTTTGATCTCGAGGCCTGGCGTCTTATAAAGTTGTACATTCGCTTCTAATTAGTTATAGTTTTTTAGTGTACTGATAAGTGTTTGATCCTATAAACTTTATCTTTTTTTTGTTTTCGAGGACAGGAACAAAAAAAAATGAGACGATTCGTGGTGGTCGCATTGATCATGATGGTGGTGGCCTCTTCTTCTTGCTTGGCGGTTGGCCATCAACTAGGGAGGAAGCTTGTGGTTGAGAACAGTGGCAACAACAAGGATGATAACGGCGGCGGGTATATGAATTCACGTACTTATGATTTGGGTAATCACCATTGCAAACCCTGGCAAGACTTCAGCAACGACAACGGTAATAACGGTGGCACACCCGATGGACCTAAAGTTGGGGGTGCATGCTAAGCTAATAACACATATGAAAATAAATGTTTTAGGTTTTAGGGCCATATATTACATATGTGTTATAGTGTTTTATTTTTATATAGTTTATGCTGCACGTACGCTACAAAATTAACAAGTTTAATTACTGCATGTATGGTGAGATTTTTATATGGTCATATTGTAGGGTATGTGTGTGTATACGCGCGTATATATACACCGTGTGCTATGTATTTTAGCTTTGTCTGGGATGGAAATGCATTATTATACGAAACAATAAAAGATATTTTGGCTTTTGTTATTGTTTGTGGAAAAAAAAAAACATTTTAAGTGGTTATTTTGTGGTTCAAATATATGTGGACTTTTGATTTGGATTGGGTTAAGTGGATTCAACTTCTCCTAAGTGATACAAAAAAATTTGATATATTATATGCTCAACGATTAAAAATCGGTAGATGCAATTATCTCGACGATTTTGTATATAGTTTCATATTGAGTATCAATATTATTATTACTCCACACCCCAAGGATGCATAATATAACAAGTTTTTAGAGTCATTTGAAATATATAGAAAGCATCCCCCATGAGGAAATTATTTTGCATTATCTTTATTGAAAATTACACTTCTTCGTTACATTTTATTTTTACGTTACCATATTTTGATCACACAAATAAATGAGGCAAATTATATCGTGTACTGTGGTGCATAATTGATTATGCACCGCGCGTCAGACACTACGGTGTGTCTAAACCGATATACTGTCAAATGACGTCGTTTTATTTAATGAAAAGAAACAGAATCTTCGCAAAAAATAACTCTGTTCTTTAGTTTCATTTTGTATATACTGCAGTTTCAGTTCAATACAACTACAGTTTCATTTCGATATAACTACAGTTTCATTCAATATTTATACACTCAAATATGTGAAAATGTTATTTAATTTTATTTTATATACACTATAATTTTATTAAAACACAACTACATGATCATTTGAATATAATTACAGCTTAATTGTACAATATACATTAAATATGTGAAATGTTATTCAGTTTCATTTAATCATTTTATATATACTGTATTTTCATTTCACCACAACTACAGTATCGTCAGTATCGTTTTGATATAACTGTAGTATCGATTTAGACATATTGTAGTGTCTGACGCGCGGTGCATAATCGGTGCACGATATAACGACCCATGATCATTAGGCCATGGCCCATGTAACAGAGACTCGGCCCAAATCTTGATCTAGGACCAGATCATTCCAAACTGCCGCCGACCCATCAACGATGTTGTTATCGCACGGCCCTTGTCCTCCATGCTCATCGTCGCATCCGTGCATGGAGTCACACTCATCCACCACCTTCGCCGTCGTGCTCCTCCCGTTACTCGCCCGGATACGAATCATCTTCTCGCACCTACGTTGAGCACGTAATATATAAACATAAATGTACAATCAACTATCAGTTCAGTCTTTTAATTAATAATCTATGTCAAAGGTTATAAATTCGAATCTCATCAAAAATCTGCAATCTAGCTCTAATTACCTAGACCCTCTAGCGTACCACCCGGTGGACAACGCCACCACTCTTTCGCTATTGTTGTGGTAATGCTCGTCGCATTCGAATGGAGCGCCACCGTCGCCGCCTTCGCTGAAGTCGTTGAGGGTGAGTATGGCGGGCGTAGAGGACCTCATCGGAGGCGAGCACCGGTAGGTAAACTTGGTCTCGCCGTTGCATGTCATACTCCCGACCGGTTTACAGTTGCCGGGAGTTGGAGTAGAGCCCCCTCTGCAGATATGTGTTCCGACGTCGGGGTCGTCGTTGCACTTCCCGCCGATGCAAATTAGCTGGCCGGAACAATCGTCCAAGGTTGTGCAGGGGCCATTGCAGGAGGAAAGTGCATTTCCTTGGAGTGAAAAAGAGACGAAAATTGCGAAAATGCAGAGAGAAATAAGAGCAAGATTTGCCATGGCTACGTTACTTTGCTACTTCAATTCCTATATTTGACGATGAAATATGATGTTTGTATGAACATATTTATAGTAAAACTCTATCCATACACTACTGGAAATTATGAAATTTACTACCACCTGAAAGTAATCTTAAATCAAATCGAAAGTCTTGTTCCAACCACTTTTGATATCCAGAAAAATCTTTATTGCTATTTCCGACAATTTTTTAGTATCAACTATTTTCCAGTAGTAATATAACAACTATTTTGGGACTGCTGCAACAAAAATAATGTTGAAGGATAAAGTGGATATAACTCAAAAGTCGTGTACTCATGATGACAATTACTTGTCATGAAACCAAAAATATCACAATTTGGTGAAATATACCTTACACCAAAAAATTATGAGTCAGAGTATTGTCAACACTTTCTTTGTCAAATATGTCATACAACTAACGTCTTCTTAATGTAGTTAACCTCAGTCCTCTTGTATGGGTGCAAATTATACAGTAGTAGAGTTTACTTAATTATGCACACTCTCGATCGAATAGTCACTATGAGTTTTATGCACTACTAGAAATTATGGAATTTCCCACTACTTGAAAGTGATCTTAAATCAAGTTGTAAGCAAAAAGTGATCGGAAATAGCAATAAAGATTTTTCCGGATACCAAAAGTGGTCGAAAACAAGACTTTCAACTTGATTTAAGAGGTGGTCCAGTGATGGTCCAATAAAAAACATATTTATCTTATTTAATCCACTCACAAGGTGGATTTCATTTAATACAATATTATTATTCCATAAAATATTGGAGAAATATGGCGTTTCCACTTGCTCTTGCCTCATTTGGTGGAGTCTCCATTCCCAACTGCCATTAATTCCTCAAACAGGAAACCCATGAAACCCTACTCCACTTCTATACAAAAACTCTATATAAACAATGTTAGATCTTTATTGCCCCTCACTCTAACCTCAGTAAGTCAATGTATTTATGTATCTAAGATTTGTATACTCTTATGTTCCATATATATGATATAAGTAGTAGTTTTAACCCATTTTGTTTTTGGAATGGCAGGAACCAAAAAACAAGAACAAAAAATCAAACAAAAAAATGAGACAATTCGTGGTGTTTGCATTAATCATAATGATGATAACAAGATGAACAATATTTTTATTAGTATTTTAGTTAATTTTATTATAATTAGTAGGCAATATTTAATTAATTAATGTAATTTTTTTCATTATTAGTTTTTTTGCATTGGTGTTGATTAGTCTTTTATTTTAATCAATTATATTTCTCATTTATCATATATTTGCAGCTAGATAATAAAATAATAGTAAATAGTAGTACTTATAATCTCTATGGGATACAATACTCGTTACTTGATGCAATTATCTAGACGATTTTGTATAGTTGCACATTGAGTATAACACCCCAAGGATGCATAATATAACGGCCCTGTTTGGTAAAAAATTGGCTTATATGCCAATTTTAGCTTATTTGACCATTATTAATTGTTTGATTTAGTTATAATATCAATAGAAATATTTGGTTAATTAACTTTTTGCAACTTCAAAAGGCTAAAATTCAAAAAACTACTCCAAGCAACTTTTTCAATTAGCTTTTTGAGAAAGAAATTATACCAAACAGCTATCAGCTAACAGCTAATTTACTAAACACTTTTCTACAATCATCTAATGTTATCAACTATTTATACCCTCTAATTAACACAATCAGCTAACCGCAAACAGCTATCAGCTAACAACCATTTTACCAAATAGGAATATGTTTTAAGAGTCATTTGAAATATATAGAAAGCATCTCCATTGAGAAAATTATTTTGCATTATCTTTATTGAAAATTACACTTGTTGGTGACACTTTATTGTTATGTTACCATATTTTGATCACACAAATAAATGATGATTAGGCCATGGACCATGTAACAGAGACTCGGCCCAAATCTTGTTTTAGACCCAGAGCTTTCCAAACCGCCGCCGACCCATCAACGATGTTGTTATCGCACGGCACCTGTCCTGCATGCTCAGCGTCGCATCCGTGCATGGAGTCACACTCATCCACCACCTTCGCCGTCGTGCTCCTCCCGTTACTCGCCCTGATACGTATCATCTTCCCGCACCTACGTTCAACACGTAATATATAAACATAAATGTACAATTCAACTATCAATTTAGTTAAGATAAAACACATATTTCAAGTTAGTATAGAGCGAATATAATCTTGTCAAAGATTATGAGTTCGAATCTACATCATCTAATTAAAAATAGAGTATGGTGCATGGTGCTGGTCAAAATTAATCAGCTCGCACGTAATATATAAATATAAATATGCAACACATGTTTCAATTTTGTATCAGAGTTAATTCATGTCAAATAAAAGGTCATGGCACTCCACGTCACTCAATAAACACACATTATGGTCCACACGTTGATGAGAGGCAAATTATTATGTGAATTCGCATCTAAAATACATACTTTACATACTGAATGTTCACAATTTTGTAACATTTAGTATGTAAATTGTGAACATTCAGTATATAAATTGTGGACCTGATCCATGGTATAACAACGATTGTTGAGAGCTCGTTAAAATTAGTAACCAGCCCCACACACATGAAGAGCATATGAACATATGTTATATTATATAGTCATAAATGTATAATCTAATTGTCTAGCTCGAATTACCTAGACCCTCCTGCGTACCATCCGGTCGATAACGCCACCACTCTTTCGTTATTGTCGTGGTACTGCTCGTCGCATTCTGACGGAGCGCCACCGTCGCCGCCTTCGCTGAAGTTGTTGAGGGTGAGTATGGCGGGCGTAGAGGACTTCACCGGAGGCGAGCACCGGTAAGTAGGCTTGGTCTTGCCGTTGCACGTCATACTCCCCACCGGTTTACAGTCGCCGGGAGTAGTTGGAGGCGAGGGAGTAGAGCCGCCCCCTCGGCAGATATGCGTTCCGACGTCGGGGTCGTCGTTGCACTTCCCGTTGATACAAATTAGCTGCCCGGAACAATCGTTCAGGGTTCTGCAGGGGCCATTGCATGAGGAAAGTGCATTTCCTTGAAGTGAAAAACTAACGAAAATTGCGAAAATGCAGAGAGAAATATGTGCAAGATTTGCCATGGCTACGTTACGTTGCTACTTTCTATATTTGACGATGAAATATGATGTTTGTATATATGGACATATTTATAGTAAAACTGTATACAAATACCAACAATTTTGCGACTGCTGCACAAAAATAATAATGTTAAGGATAGAGTGGGAAAAGTCATGATTTTCGGCCATGCATGCATGGTTACGAGTTGGTCAATGCACG